AAAAGAATAGCCCTGAGACCTTAGGGAAAATAACTAGCAGCGTGCCTGAATATCAGAGCTACTCTGAAAATAGAAAAGAATTTATTTTAAACTCCCCTTTGTAGGTATACTGTCAAAATAATGAAACATAATTTGCTTTTTTAAGAAATCTGCATTGACTTTGACATACAGCAGATTTTCCTAAAAATAGCAAATCATTCTTATATTCTCTAAGAATTCTTCAGTGAAGTTAGAAGTGACTGAAGAGTATTAATCAACACCAGAGAAAAAGGAGGTATTGAGGTCCATAACTCAACACCCAGAAGAACCGTGATGGTGGAATGATAACAAGGAGAGGTGGCACAGGCCCAGGCTCTCCCAGTAAAGTGTTACTTACGGTGCTGTGTCAGAATCCAGTGGATTTCCTACGGCACTGAGATTTAAAAATTCAAGGCGAGTGAATAAAACCAGATTAGTAAATGGCCCTGTACAGTAACCTACAGGAAAGCCAGTAGAATGTAGGGTCAAGATTCTTTCTTAGGCTTACTTTTGTTCTTAATTTAAATGCTTCATTTGGATCGGTGCCTTCTGTCCCACTTTTCCTGTGTTATATGACTGACAGGAAAGGAACTGTGCTTCTGAGGTGTGGACTTGCTGACAATTTGAAGAGTCTCAGAATGCACAGACTTAACTGTGCTAGCTAAAAGTTAGTGAAGGAGGGCTGGGGATTCAGCTCAGTGGCAGTGCTCCTGCTTTGCAAGTTCAAGGTCCCGAGTTCAATCCCTTGTACCAAAAAAAAAAAGAGAAGGTGGTTGAGAAAGAAAATACCAGTCATCTAGACAGTAGGGTGGTGTTGATAGGAGTGGGGACGTGGTGTTGAATAGGAACAGTCCCGGCAGGGACGATGGGAGGGTTCTGCAGATGGAGGATGGGATGACTGCATGGTGGCGGTGATTCCTGCTGCTGTCAGCTGTGGACGAGTGAGAGGATTGAGATGATCAGTGTTACACTGTTCTTATTTAAACAGACGATCACATCATTCAGTTGGACATGGCGATTTTAATAGGCTGTGAAAGTGTCCCTTAAGTGGGTCATACTTTAACAGCATTTTGGAGAAACTTTGGGCAAGATAAAAAAGTTCTTATCAGTCTTTGCAAATGAAATATGTGCTTTATTCTTTTGACTTTGTTAAGTTTTAAGGTCTTGTTCTGTGCCCAGAACGATATACATGTACACACATGATTAAAATAGGATGTGCAAGTGCCTAGGAACATCTTTTTAAAATTTAATTTGATTTTAATTCTATAAGCAGAACTTATATTTGGAGGTTGTGGGAAGGGACTGATTATTAACAATGAACATAATAGGTAAGTTATTTAGTATATTCAGGGAAGGTAGTGCTGTAAAAAAGGGAGGAGCAAGATATGGGGGAGATGGGAGTGGAGGAGGCAAAATTAAGTAGGGTGTGTAGGGGAGGCCTCATTAAGAAAATGAGATTTGAGGAAAGCCTTGACACAAAGCAGTTAGCCAGGCAGATGTCTGTCTCAGAGAATAGATAGCTGGGCCCCAGGAGTCAGACCAATGATCCAGTGAACAGAGGTGTACAAAGAGGCTAAGGTCTCCAGGGCTCTGAAAGGAAATTAGCTGCAAAGTGAATTCAACTTACAAAGTAGGAAAAAACCATTCTCATTCTATATCCTCTGGATTTCAAACCTTTGTGCCTATAACCACTAACTAGTTTTAAAGTTATGCCTATCTATATGCATGCATATTTTGTTCAAAACATGGATTCCCTTCTGCTAATAGCAATTAACCCTTAAGAAAACCAAGGTTATTCTAGATTGTCTTGTAAAATCATGGTATTTAGATAATTGAGCTGTTTTTCCTGTGACTAAAACGGGGGAAGGAGAAAAACATTTCCTCTGCTTTTAATTGTCTATTATATTTATGTAAGGCAAGCACCATTCATATTTTAGTATTTTGTGCACAGTTGGCTTTGGGTGATTTTTCTGTGGAATAGCTATGGAAAAAATTCAAGGGACAGTAGAAGATACCTTAACTACCCTGAGGAAGAGAAAGGCTTTATTTCAGGTACTCAACATGAAGCTACCAAATTAAAAGGCCAAACAAAACTCATCCACTCGATCTAATACTTTACAATAATACAGAGAAATCCTTCAACATGAGCACTTCAGAAAAAAGTTCAGGAAATAAAATTAGTCTTGAGGAAAGGAAAAAAGTCATGCAGTGAGACTGTTACTGAGGTGACAAACCACAAGACCAAGTGCCTGTGGCATCCAAGCACCCATTTCCACAAAGCAGCACCTCACGGTAATTCAGGGTGGAAACATCACTGACCCACTTGCAAATAGGAGTTATGTTGGAGCTTGTTGATCCCTGAGAAGGTGAGTTTCATATTATGAAGGTAAACATGTTTTGGTGATATTTCAGCCATGGAAACAAATAAAGAAAGTGCCCATTTTAAAATTACTTTGATTAGGCCAGCTTAGGCCACAGAGTAAGTTTAAGACCAGGCTGGACTACACAGTAAGACCCTGTCTCAAAAAAACTTTAAAAAAATAATAAAAGTATTTAAAATTTTTTAGTTTGTTAAGTGAAAAAGTATGGCTTTTGGTGATGTGTGTATTAATTTGATATTCTTGGGGTCAGAAGCCTTTTGTTTGTGTATTTTTCTTCCAGTGGTATTAGCTCCTTTTAATTTGAAGTGTGGTGATGCCTGTAAGCTCTTTTCACATATTTGTGGGTTTCTTCCCAGCCCAGAAATGTAGCCCTTTTTCTGGAAAAGGAAAAAGTGACAAGACTGATAATTTTTGTTTGAAAATTGTAGTAGTATAATGAAAATTAACCTGTAGAGAAGAAAGTGATTCTCTAATTTTCCTGTCTTTTAAATTAATTGTTGTCATTTTCTCTCTCACTGTCTTTTACGTACATTTCTGAGATATTTCTTTAAACTCTTCAACTTCTGCTATCTCATTTAAACGTTTCCTAAGTGTTTGTTTTCTGTATTTTGCCCGTTTAATGGGTTATATTATCTTGTATTTTGTGGGAGTATTGTGATAATTTGTTTTCTTCCTTTCAAATCATTGTTTCAGGTTTTTCTTGTTCATTTTCATCTGTCTTTCATGTTTGATGCTTTCCTTGACTAATTTCCTTTTTTTTTTCCTTTGGTATTGGGGATTGAACTCAGGTCCTTGCGCTTGCGAGGCAGGTGGCAGAACCACTGAGCTAAATCCCCAGCCCAACTAATTTCTTGTTTAGAATTGCATAAAGACCAAATTCTTATAACTGGAATCCCTATTTGTTGTTTCATGTAGAATTGTCCTGAAATACAATGGGAAGGCAGTGGTAAGCTACTCAGTTGAAATGCTCAGAATTCTAAAACTGCCACTGTAAAAGACAAATGAAGCCTCATGTTCAAAATTTGATTAAAACTAAGTCGGAAGCTTAAAAACTCTTTAAACATTCTTCAAAATATCCATTTTAGGGTGTTTGCCAACTTCCCAGTAAAAATGATGGAAAGGAATATCCATACAGAAGAATTGATATCAGGTATTACTCAGACTTTACCATCAACCCATTACTGTTTCTCCCTTAAATCCTTTTTCCCCCGCCTCTGTAAGTCTTGAAGTTGACAGAAGTTTCAGACCCCCTTTTTTTCTGGAGGGTCATATGTCCCTACCAAAAATAATATTTAGCCTGAAATATATAAAGAATGGCAATCTATAGACTCTTTCTGTAGACTTCCACCTCATAGTTACATCTTCCACAGCTCAAAAGTAGTTTCTGTGGAAGGACAGTGTGATAAGTGATACTTTCATTTCTGCACATTTCTTAGCTGGATTTTCCAAAACCTAAAGATATTGCATGTTTGGGTGGTTCCACTGGTCAACCTGACAATAATGTCCCCTTCAGGCTGTTAGATAGACTTACTTTATGTGCTGTATTTTGTTCTTTTTGGATTTTAGGGGGCCTATATTTGCTAAATTTGAAATATATATAAAATATTGGCCTTTTTTGTAGGTTGATTCCCAAAGATCAGTATTACTGTGGTGTTCTCTACTTCACTGGAAGTGATATTTTCAACAAGAATATGAGAGCTCATGCCCTAGAACAGGGCTTCACAATCAATGAATACACTATCCGTCCCCTGGGAGTCACTGGTGAGTGTGTTTACCTTAGAGATAGTCCCTGCCATCTGGAGAGAGTTATCTCAAGGATACGTTACGTTAGCAAATTTGTTTTCTCTAAAAAACTTTCTAATAACTGCCAGTTAGTGTTGTTTGTTTGTCTCTCCTGCAATAAGAGGCACATCCAGGCCCTTAATTGATGGCTATTAAGGTGAGAGTTATTTCCAGCTCTATTAGAATGAATTAAGTCCATTTTATACATGATTCCCATTGAAAAGTCTTACTGGTCCACCAGACATGGTGATGCATGCTTGCAGTTCCAACACTCTTGGGAGGCTGAGGCGAGAGAATCACAAGTTCAAACCCCACATAACCAACTTAGCCACTTAGCAAGGCCCTATCTCAGAATTTTAAAAAGAACTGAGAATATAGGTCAGTGTGAAGGCCCTGGATACCACTAAATAAAGGAATGAATGAATGAGTGCTCAAAGATCTTACTGGCTTGTTTATTTGTTTTAATGTATCTGCAAGACTTCTAAAGAGCTGAAGTACCATTGCTTTTAGTCCTACTGAGGACAGGAGGGCAGCTTCATGGTAGAGCACATTCTCACATAGTCTGTGCAGAGCACTGGACTGCACCCCCAACACCAAAATGAAACAAAACTGGACAACTATGGCCCCAAGCCTTAAAGTTTAAAGAATGTAGACTTTTGAATTGATGCCTTTTGGATCTTTTTAAAATTTCCCAGTGTACTGTGTGGCTAATTATTCTTTGCTAGGAGAGTGAATGTTTGCTATTTTGTCCTAAAAGCATAAAATAGAGCTTTCGCTCACAGTAGAGTAGGACAGTGCTTTTCACATCCAGCATGTGTCCCCTATCAACCTGGGTGCTTGGTGGAGGCAGATTCTGTTCTGTGGGCTTCTTGAGTGGGGCTTAATATGAAGCTCCCAAGTCACGTCATTGGTGCCAGTCTAGAACCAACAAGAGTGTTTTATATAATACACGACACAGCGAGGATCCAGGAGAGGAGAACACGGATGAAGGTGACTTCCAGGGCCATCCCCGGGATGTGCAGACTCCTTGCATACAACTGGAAACGTGACACAGCTCAGACGCAAGCTGAAGTGGAGGACGGGGCAGTCAGTGTACCAGTGTTTTACTGGAGTGCTCTGGGCAGAACCCAGGGCCTTAGGCAGGAGCTCTGCCACTGAAGCGCACCCTCACTGGGTCACCATTTTGTTTTTCTTCTGAAAGCAAGTGCCACACGAGTCTCAGTCCTCAGTAGAGACCTCTATAGCCAAATTCTACAGCTGGTTCTTAAAATTAATTTCTTTCCCTCTGTATGTGCAGGAGTCGCTGGAGAACCCCTCCCAGTGGACAGTGAGAAAGACATCTTCGATTACATCCAATGGAAATACCGAGAACCCAAGGATCGAAGCGAATGAAGACTGTTCTCCCTCCCAGGCGCAGCCCAATAGAAGTCTTAATTTATTTCTTAACCTTTGCTATGTAAGGGTGTTTAGGGTTTTTAACTTTATTTCTCCTTCATGCTTAACTTGCCTTTTTTCAATAAAGCCTCTTGCACTATTATTGGATGATGATATTCATATTTTCTTAGCAAATGTGTTTAAATTTTATGTTCGTGATCATACTTTACTCTGTGAGTGTAGCAGTGAGAAATAAGAGATGAGATGATAGCAAATCTTAATGGAAATTTTTATTTCCTAATTTTCTGCCGTATGATATAAACTGTATCTCTCCACTACCTTCCCTCCCTGCTGATTACAAATTAGTCAGTTAAGGTATAACCAGAGGCTAGCCTCCAGAAGATGGTTTTAGAAAGATGGTTTAGAAACTAGAAATCTTCAAAAATTTAAATTTTTTCTTCGGCTTTCTATAGTCTATTTTGTAATATATACATATAACTTAAATAGAGTAGGTGTTTAATGATTAAAATCCATTAAACAGAGCTTCCCTGAGCAAAACCACTTCTGATATGCACACAGTATGGCCTCTTAAACTTTAAACGAACAAAAAATTCATTTCCAAGTTTTCTTCCAGGTAACTTTTACCTGGATGATCAAAATATATGTCAAAACAGTCCTGGAAAGCCCTCACTTTTAAATATAAAAAGTATATGGATATAGAATATAAGACGTTATCACCTGTAAGTAAAGTTAACTGAAAACAAAGTACATGAAAGTGCTTTGTAACTTAAAAGGAATATCTAAACCATACATTGTCTGTGAATCTTTTTCTTCAGTAACCAAATTATCTTACAGTGAAATGTGATTTTGCTTCTGAGAAATGAAAATAAATATGTTTTATGGGGGGGGAAAGATGGTATTTGTTGAGATACTTTTGGTAAATCGGTAAGCTACGAGAGATCATTTATTTTTAATGTCAGGTACCAAGATACTGTCGGGAACTAGCCTTTTATCAGAAATTACTTAAAGGGCCAGGGATTTGGCTCAATGGCACTGCACCTGCCTCACAAGTGCAAGGTCCTGAGTTCGATCACTGGTACCAAAAAAGAAAAGAAATTACTTAAAGATTTATGGGGGTGGATGAATTAATTAGCTTGACTATGGTAATCGATTGACCGTACATATATTAAAACATCACACTTGTACACTGTGCAATTTTTAAGAGATTTATTTGAGCTATAAGTTCAGAATTAATATTGTTTTTTTCTTACAGAATCACATCCCTTTTGTGAAGTAATGGGCAAAAAACCAACTCTAATTTCCATTCCCCTAAGTGCAGCATCTCATAATTTTCTAGTTTCAGTCTGTTGCTTTTGCTAGATTTGATTTTAAGAGATGTTTGTACGGAAGTACTTTGAAGTTAGTGTTGAGATTCTGCCTGAATACAATGAGGATTCCTCCTTATGCTGAAATGTTTACCGCTTTTTCTACTTTTTGGCACACTCTTAACCGTGCGTGCTGCTGACTGCCCTGACTTTGACACGACAGCCCAGGGCCACAGTCGCAGCGCTGGAAGATTTCCGGGGCTTGTGCAGTGTCTTTGTGGCCTCTCCTGGAACAGACCTGTCCCTCCACTAGGACTGGTTTACAGATCTTAGTCCAGAAATGACGAGCACAGCAAAGTCCAGAGCCGCAGTCAGAAGTTCTAAGACAGCTTTCTCCTTCTTGTCCTGTAACAAAGTGAATATGGGCTTCAGTGGGAAAAACTACACTGGGGACACTGCTAATGAAGCAAGGTCAGGGACCCAGGCCTGGAGGCCACAGGGTAAAAATGAAAACAGCCAGCAGGAACCACAGAGAGAGCCTTACAGTAAAATCAATAATGAAGTGGAAATTCTAGCCCTATATAACAGGACTTGTCTTACAAAGTTAAAACATTCATCAAGGAAAGGTGGGATTTCCAGGCTTGAGAAATTAAACAGTATCACAATGGCAGTGATTTCTTAAATGGGATTTATAGTGCTACCAAAACATCTTAGAGGCCAGTTAACCTGAAGACAAAAAGAAAGTGACCCATTCACTTAATTCAAACACTGGCTATGTTGTGTCACAGACAAATTTGAGACTACAATTTTGTTTTTTAAAAAAATGTACCTACTTCTCTATTTTGTATCCCAAGGATCTATGCAGGAAAACTGCCTTGTCAAATTACAGTTTATACTGTAAATGGTTGTGTGTGTAACAGCTAACAGTGAAAGAGCTGCTAGTTCCCTAATGACAGCAGTTTCCTGTCCTGGCCTGGACTAGCACACACTGATCCCTGCACCATCTCCCAGATCACACCACACAAACTCCCTGTGTGTTCTTGGTGGGAGAAGAAGAAAGTTGGTCTCAGCCTGTCTGCAAGGCTGGGAGAACAGTTTTCCTTAAACAGAATGTGCCCACAGCACTTGCTCTTACCCTTACTGCCTTGTGATTTCTTGATATTTGGCTTCCCTTTGGCTTTGTTCTCAACTGGTTGCTCAGTTGCTCCTGTGGCATCCAGGCCATCTGGGTCATCAGTCCTGCTCTCCAGCACCGGAATCGCATCTTCCATGGTAGTGCAAATATCTGAGGAACAATTGGGGGTGATGAGTTACTACCTGAGGGAGCAGAGCCAGACACGCTACTTATTAGGCATTTTGGCAGCACCTCTGCCTGCTCATTAGTACAGTCTTCGTGCACTGCCTACTTACACGCTCACCTGTGGCAAAGAAGACAAATGATTAGTAGAACCCAAGGGAGAACGGAAGGGTTGGAATTGTTCCAACGCGAGTCTTTCTTGTTTGGTTCGTTGGTTGGTTGGTTGGTTTTTTGAGACAGGGTTTCACTATGTAGTTGAGACTGACCTGGAACTCACTATGTAGCCCAGGCTGGTCTCGAACTCACAGCAATCCTCGTGCCTCAGCCTCCCAAATGCTGGGATTACAGGCGTGCACACCATGCCCGACCTAACGCGAGTCTTTCTTTTAAAATCGCCATCTCCAACTCACTGGCAAATTACTGCCAGAAAGTAAGTGATTTTGTGTCAAGAAAAGGAGCTGCACAGGCGCGCGTCAAGGGCGACTCCACAGCTCTGGGGAGCAGCTCACCATTCATGCACAGCGTCCCGGGGCAGCACATGGCGCTGCGCTGGCACCGCCTCCGCAGCCCGCGACACACCGCGCAGAACGGCTGCTCCTCGCGAGGTGCCAGGCAGAATCTCCGGGTGCTGCAGTCCTGGTCCGACGCGCACGGGGAACCCTGCGAACAAAACCGGTCTTGGGGCCCGGGGTTTGGCTCCGGTGTGTGTGGGGGGAGCAGCATCTCCCCGCGTCCCCGTGTCCCTGTCACCGGCTTCTGCACAGATCGCACGCCTGAACCGAGCCCTCGGCGCCGCCGGCTCTGAAGAGTGCCCTACTCTGAACACTCGAGGTTCATTTTCCTCCGTTCTTTGGAAAGCCTCTCCCGTGCGATTTTTAACGTCCGACGAGCTTCAGAAGCTGTGCTACAGCACGGCGGAGGCGAGGCTGCAGTCGGCGGCACCCTGCCGGACTTGGCCGCGATCGAGCGCATCCGCCCGCCTCTGCTCCGTCCGGCCTTCCCCAGGGAGCCAGCCTCTGACCTCGCAGTCACTCGCGTGAGACCCAGCTTTCTGCGAGGCCCTCCGTGCATCCGCGCTCCCTAGCACAACCCGCCACGCTCGGCGCCCGCACGCCGAGCCGAAGACACAGGTAAAAGCGAGCGACCTGCGCCGGCCCCGCCGCGGCCCGCGTCGCTGTGTTTAAACTCCAGCTTCTGCGCTGACTGGCTGTGAGACCTTGGTTCATTTTCTTCGTGTCGTCAGGGAGCCTATCTCTGCCTCCCACTGTGCAGAATATTAAACGAGCTACACGTTTAAGACGCGTCGGCGCCTAGCGGAGCCCTCTGCTGCCGGTGTCACCCCAGGTCTGTGCGCAGTTTCGGGCCCGACGGCCTGAACGCCGGT